TTTCTTCTTCTCCATCACCAAAATTTTAGTTTCTTCACCTCTAAGAAACTAAGTTAAGAGACTACAAATGAATGACTCGTAATTTTTACATATGCATAACAATTAAAATTAAATAATCAAGCTCAATATTGTTCATATTCATCGTATTCACATTAACTTATGGTATATTACATCGAAAAATGTTCAATATTTTTCTTCACCGTCCCAAAGTTTTAGGTTTTCTGATCACTAAGAAACAAACAAAACAGTCTAAAGTAGATGTTAAAAATTAATTATTATATATTATCACAAACGTTTAGGTTTATCCCCACTAAAACACAAAGTTAAAAGACTATAATCCATGACTTATTTTTTATATAATATAGGTAAAAATTAAAATTTAATAATAAAAATCTAATTTATTTATATTTACCATTTTCACATTGAATTATGGTCAATTAGATGTAAACATATTCAATGTGTTTCTTCTCTGTTTCCAAATTTCATGTTTCTTCGTCAGTATGACACAGAATTAAAAGACTATTAATGAATGACAAATAACTTATATTTACATGTGTAATCACTAAAATAAAATATTCAAACATAATAGACTATAGTAGATATAAAAATTTAATTATATTTTATTTTTCAACTCAATCACAAAATTTTAGGTTTATCCCCACTAAAAAACAAAGTTAAAAGACTATAATTCATGACTTATATTTTATACAATATAGGTTAAAATTACAATTAAATAATCAAGCTCACATTTATTTATATTTACCAATTTCACATTGAATTATGGTAAATTAGATGTAAATATATTCAATGTGTTTCTTCTACATCGCCAAATTTCATGTTTCTTCGTCAGTAAGACACAGAATTAAAAGACTATTAATGAATGACAAATAATATATATCTACATGTGTAATCACTAAAACAAAATATTCAATAAGAATGTTATTTGTATTCACCAAAATCAAATTGTATTCCGGTATAATAGATGTAAAAAGTTTCTATGTTTTTCTTCTTCTCCATCACCAAAATTTTGGTTTCTTCGCCTCTAAGAAACTAAGTTAAGAGACTAAAAATTAATGACCCATAACTTATACATATGCTTAACAATTAAAGTTAAATAATAAAGCTCAATATTGTTCACATTCATAATATTCACATTGACTTATTGTATATTACTTCTAAAAATATTCAATATTTTTCTTCACCATCCCAAAGTCTTTGGTTTTTTATCTCTAACCGACAAACATAATAGACTATGGTAAAAATTAAAATTAAATAATCAAGCTCAAATTTATTTATATTTACCATTTTCACATATTATTATGGTAAATTAGATGTAAATATATTCAATATGTTTCTTCTCCATCACCTAATTTTATGTTTCTTTGTCTGTAAACATAGAGTTAAAAGACTATAAATGAATGACAAATAAATTATATCTACATGGGTAATCACTAAAATAAAATATTCAATCTTAATTTTATTTGTATTCATCATAATCACATTGTATTATGGTATAATAGATGTAAAAAATTTCTATGTTTTTCTTCTTCTCCATCACCAGAATTTTGATTTCTTCACTTCTAAGAAACTAAGTTAAGAGACTACAAATGAATAACCCGTAATTTTTACATATGTACAACAATTAAAATTAAATAATCAAGCTCAATAATGTTCATATTCATTGTATTGACATTGGCTTATGGTATATTACATCTAAAAATATTCAATATTTTTCTTCACCATCCCAAAGATTTAGTTTTTTTATCACTAAGAAACAAACAAAATAGTCTAAAGTAGATGTTAAAAATTAATTATAATTTATTTTTCAACCCCACCATAAAATTTTAGGTTTATCCCCACTAAAAACAAAGTTATAAGACTATAATCCATGACTTATATTTTATAATATAGGTAAAAATTAAAATTAAATAATAAAACTCAAATTTATTTATATTTACCATTTTCACATTGAATTATGGTAAATTAGATGTAAATATATTCAATATGTTTCTTCTCCGTCACCAAATTCCATGTTTCTTCGTCAGTAAACCACAAAGTTAAAAGACTATTAATGATTGACAAATAAATTATATATACATGTGTAATCACTAAAATAAAATATTCAATCTGAATGTTATTTGTATTCACCATAATCACATTGTATTACAGTATAATAGATGTAAAAAATTTCTAAATTTTTCTTCTTCTCCATCACCAAAGTATTGGTTTCTTCACCCATAAGAAATTACGTCAATAGACTAGAAAATAATGACCCATAATTTAAACATAAGCATAACTATTTAAATTAAATAACCAAGCTCAATATTATTCATATTCATAATATTCCCACTGACTTATTGTATATTACTTCTAAAAATATTCAATATTTTTCTTCACCATCCCAAAGTCTTAGGTTTTTTATCACTGAACAACAAACATAATAGACAATAGTAGATGTAAAAAAATAATTATATATTATTTTTCAACTCCATCACAAAATTTTAGGTTTATTCCCACTAAAAAACAAAGTTAAAAAAATATAATCCCTGACTTATATTTTATATAATACAGGTAAAAATTAAAATTAAATAATCAAGCTTAAGTTTATTTATATTTACCATTTTTACATATAATTATGGTAAATCAGATGTAAATATATTCAATGTGTTTCGTCTCCATCGCCAAATTTCATGTTTCTTTGTCAGTAAGACACGGAATTAAAAGACTATTAATGAATGACAAATAAATTATAATTACATGTGTAATCACTAAAATAAAGTATTCAATCTGAATGTTATTTGTATTCACCATAATCACATTGTATTACGGTATAATAGATGTAAAATATTTCTATGTTTTTCTTCTTCTCCATCACCAAAATTTTGGTTTCTTTGCCTCTAAGAAACTAAGTTAAGAGACTAAAAATTAACGAACCATAACTTATACATATGCATAACAATTAAAATTAAATAATCAAGCTCAATATTCATCGTATTCACATTGACTTATGGTATATTACATCTAAAAATATTCAATATTTTTCTTCATCATCCCAAAGTTTTAGGTTTTCCTATAACTAAGAAACAAATAAAATAATTTAAAGTGGATGTTAAAAATTAATTATAATTTATTTTTCAACCCCATCATAAAATTTTAGGTTTATCCCCACTAAAAAACAAAGTTAAAAGACTATAATCCATGACTTATATTTTATATAATATAGTTAAAATCTAAAATTAAATAATAAAGCTCAAATTTATTTATATTTACCATTTTCACTTTGAATTATGGTAAATTAGATGTAAATATATTCAATATGTTTCTTCTCCGTCACCAAATTTCATGTTTCTTTCTCAGTAAACCACAGAGTTAAAAGACTATTAATGAATGACAAATAAATTATATCTACATGTGTAATCACTAAAATAAAATATTCAATCTAAATGTTATTTATATTCACCAAAATCAAATTGTATTCCGGTATAATAGATGTAAAACATTTCTATATTTTTCTTCTTCTCCATCACCAAAGTTTTGGTTTCTTCACCTCTAAGAAACTAAGTTAAGAGACTACAAATTAATGACCCATAATTTATACAAATGCATAACAATTAAAATTAAATAATCAAGCTCAATATTGTTCATATTCATAATATTTACATTGACTTATTGTATATTACTTCTAAAAATATTCAATATTTTTCTTCACCATCCCTAAGTCTTAGGGTTTTTTATAACTAAGAAACAAACATAATAGAATATAATAGATGTAAAAAATTAATAATATTTTATTTTTCAACTCCATCACAAAATTTTTGGTTTATCCCCACTAAAAAATAAAGTTAAAAGACTATATAATTCATAACTTATATTTTATACAATATAGGTTAAAATTGAAATTAAATAATCAAGCTCACATTTATTTATATTTACCATTTTCACATTGAATTATAGAAAATTAGATGTAAATATATTCAATATGTTTCTTCTCCATCATCAAATTTCATGTTTCTTCGTTAATAAGCCACAAAGTTAAAAGACTATTAATGAATGACAAATAAATTATATCTACATGGTTAATCACTAAAATTAAATATTAAATCTTAATGTTATTTATATTCACCATAATCACATTGTATTACGGTATAATAGATTTACAAAATTTATATATTTTTCTTCTTCTCCATCACCAAAATTTTGTTTTCTTCACCTCTAAGAAATTAAGTTAAGAGACTACAAATTAGTGACCCATAATTTATACATATGCATAACAATTAAAATTAAATAATTAAGCTCAATATTGTTTATATTCATAATATTTACATTGACTTATTGTATATTACTTTTAAAAATATTCAAAAAAATTCTTCACCATCCCAAAGTCTTAGGTTTTTTTATCACTAAGCAACAAACATAATACACTATAGTAGATGTAAAAGATTAATTATATTTTATTTTTCTACTCCATCACAAAAATTTAGGTTTATCCCCACTATAAAACAAAGTTAAAAGATTATAATCGATGACTTATATTTTATATAATATAGGTAAAAATTAAAATTAAATAATCAAGTTCAAATTTATTTATATTTACCATTTTCACATGTATTTATGGTAAATTAGATGTAAATATATTCTATATGTTTCTTCCTCATCACTAAATTTTATGTTTATTCGTCAGTAATCATAGACTTAAAAGACTGAATCCGTTGTAAACCTGACGTTATTGTTTGCGCGTTTTGTAGTAGTGTAATTACACATTTGTACACTAAAACTATAAACACTTCCCTTTCTTTTGAGAAATCAAGATGATGCTTATTCACTTAAAAGATCCATATACATATTTTTAGTAAAATAATATGAACTCAATGGTAAAGATGCAAGAATTTGGCCTATACTATATAGACATATTTACACATATGTCTATTTTCTTAGATTTAGACACCATAACTCATGTCACTTGCTAGAGAGAACATTTATTTTAACCAATCCTAATTATATTAAGTGGTAGCATGCATTAAGGAAGTGTTGGGGGAAAGTACATATGAATTCTCTTCAATTTTCATGCTGATCTTTGAGTCCATAGTTCTATTGTTTAGAAAATTTGAATACCACACAGAAGAAAGTTTAGGTTGCCTCCTCAAGGTTGGATCCTTCAAATCTATGTAATATAAGCCAAAAGTTTTTTTATATCCATATAGCAACTCAAATACATCCAAAAAGGCCCATACAAAGTATCCTCTTATATTCAATCCATTCCTGTCAATGTGACAAAAAAAAGTAGAACCATGTTTTCACTACTATTTGGGTGAATATTAAGAATATTTATAATGAGTACTAGAAAATGAAAATAGAGGTACCTCAACATATCAAGCATGCTTCCTATGTATACATGCATACTCTCCACCCTTGACCAATCATTTAAAGATGAACTTCTACTTGTTTGTTGACCTGAGAAATTCAAAGATTCATTGTAGTACATAGAGATTTTAATGTTATTGATGAAGTTAAAGTAAAAATAGACTAGACAAAATTTTCAAAATGTTTTTGTAATGGAGACATACCATTTTCATGAATGTAAATTGGAAAATTTCCATAATCATTCTTCAAAGAATGAAGTTCCCCTTCCAAAATCCCAGGTATAACCGGAATCTAAGCAAACCGATCAGCGGTAAGTGGATTAGGTTATAGCCTCAATGATAAAATAAAAAATAAAAGGAGTTTCAAAGTTCATACTATACTTTTACCTCATACGTATCATTTCCAGAGTTTACTACACATATGGGAGAAACCATCAATAGATGAAAATTGCTCAAAAATAGACAAACGAGACATTTATGTAAATGTTAATTGTTTAACCTCAATCATACCTATAGTATCCGCAGCCATATCTGATGCGTGATCTCTATCCTTTTTCTGCAGACTTTTCGCGTTGTTCTTAACATAATATGCATAGTAAAAATTTATTCCAAGAAAATCAATTGAACCCTTAACCAAATTTGATTCCTTGGTGGTGAAGTAAGGAAGCCTTGAACCAACATTCTTTTTCATGACCTCAGGATATTCTCCAAAAATGAAGGGATTTAGAAACCTGTTACAATAAAGAAAATAATAAAGTCTATTAGTTCGTTATCGAACCAATGAAGGGATATTAATGAATAGTTAACAGTTTTATGTATGTATCACAATCAAAATGTTACTTACCACCCAATATAGAAGTCTCGTGCTCTTTGAGTGGCGATTATGTCTTCAGTAGTATTTGTTAGTGGAATAAAACCAATAACAATGAGATTAAAACCGATAAACCCCATTTGCTTGGCCTGCAAGTTATAATAGGTAGCATTTATAACGAAAACATACAAAACGTGAAAAGCTTTAGATGTGTGACAAAGTAAAGTGGTGCATGTGGCGTGGCACACATTGACTTACCTTGTACTTTTTTCTATAGAGTTTTGCAGCTGATGCATGTGCTAACAACATATGATGAGTTACCAAGTATGGCTCGGTCGAAGAATTGCCTTTGGAGCAGTAAGAGAAAGAGGAAGATGAACACCTTTGAGGCTGTAAAATTCCTGCACTATAGCCCACAATTGAACACGCATTTCCTTCATTAACGGTAGTCCAATGTTTAACTCTATCTCCAAACTCTCTAAAGCAGAAATCAGCGTATGCTGTGAAGTCTTTTCTGCATGAAAACATAATTAAATATTCAAACTTTGATTATACAGAAATTGTTTTTCCTATTTTAGTTCGCGAACCATACATAATTCTTCTGCTAACCCATCCTCCATATTCATCTTCAAGTACTTGTGGTAGATCCCAATGATACAATGTAACATGCGGTTGAATTCCTACAAACGAATGAAAGAAAACTCTAATTCTATCGTGGTATCAGTTAGTAACAATGGCATTTCAACTTTACAAGGTACATCTAGTTTTCAAAAGAACCTTTGCTTGTAAGTTCATCGATAAGGTTGTTGTAATAGTCCAATCCCTTCGGATTTATCGGCCCTTTTCCATCTGGAATAAGTCTTGACCATGATATGGAAAATCTGTAGGCATCTAAACCCATTTGAGCCATGAGTTTGACATCATCCTGCATGAAATAAAGTATATGTAAACTAATATTAATATACAAATAAATAATTAGATGGTGCTTTTTAGTACAAAGTATAAGTTGTTTCTAGTGGATACCTTATATTTGTGATATTGATCACATGCAATGTCACCATTTTCCTTGGATTTCCCTCCTGTAAGTTTAATTCATCTATAACATCAACTTAAATAGTAAGACTAATAATTTTCTCTACCTAATATTCTATAGCTCTAGCTAGAGATTCTTATTTATTTTCTGCAAACACTAAGAAATTGAAGATACTAATATGAAGCATATACACGAAACAGATAAATAAGAAAAAGCTAGCACCATTGTTAGCATCTGCATAGGTATCCCATATGCTTGGATTCCTTCCATCTTCATTTGCTGCACCTTCAACCTTTCATATCATCACAATTTAAAAAAAAAGAAAAGAAAAGTAGCTTTAGAATCAAAATAGATGTATATTGGATACTGATTTCACATGAAAGTTGGCTTTGATGTATAAATGATATCATATCAAAATTGACTTCACTAAGTTAAAATAAAAATTCTGATCCAAACTGAATTAATGTTAAAATCACTGAACCGATATATTTAGTTAGTAAACCAAACCATGCTGTACAAATAATATTAGACCGAACCAAATGGAAAATAAACCGAACCAAAATCAATTATGAAAAATGTTAAAATCAAGTTGAAACACTTTTATTTAAAATAATTCGAAAAAAATATATAACTATTCAGATTTCTAATAAGTGGTTCAGAACTAGAACCGGTATACCAAACAAATAATTTTGATTTGATTCGGTTCAATTTTAGTGACCTATAACAATAGTTCAGTTCGGTTTTTTTAATTGAAATATACCATAAACAACCTTAAGCGCTTACACATGTCTTGAATGCTTTTTTAGGTGTGTTTGGTTTTCATGTGACAAAAATTGATTTTCAATGAATTGATTATATATAAAAAATACTACATGAAAAGAGAAAAATTTATTTGTAAGATTCAGAAAAACCTGAATGCAAGCAGTATTGATATGAGAGAGGGAGAGAAAGAGATGAACCTGATAAGCAGAAGTTGCAGCACCAAACAAGAAGTCAGAAGGAAAATCATTCTTTGTGAGTGCATTAGCAACACAAACTATTGATACAAATAGAGTTGCAGCTAACAAGTTCATCATCAACATTGTTAACAATTAACTCTTACTATTGTGTTTTTGAACACTCATATATATCAATTATGTGTGTGTACAATGATGATACTAGAACTATGTCGGTAAGGTTCTTCCAAAACAAACAAAAAAGTGTAAAAATTGCTGTGTGTACAAGAAGCTTCAACCTTTCTTTTTCAGCTGTCTGGTCCTGGTAGCTGATAATACTATCCATGCACTTTGTGGTGTCCATATCATTTCACCAATTAACACAATAGAATGTTCCTTACGTCTCTATTGATTGGAAGTATAATTGTAGAGTGTTTTTATACTTTATTTATTTAAGTAATTCTCCTTTAAAATTGTTTTTTCTCTAATATGTAATATTTTGCTGGAAACGATTAACATGTGTTCATGTGTTCGTATGTTAGTTAGTGATAATATTTCCTCTTCCCTAGAGTACATGAATATATGAAATAACTATTGATAAAATTCTAATTGTTGCTGGTGCCGATACATCGTGGGTGAGTGTAGCGGAGAAAAGTTTGAGATTAAACTAATAATTAACTTAACTCAGAAAAGTAAGAGTCGTCACCACATTTTATTTTTTCAAAAGAATGGAAAAAGAGCGAATAAAATCCACAGAATTTTTAAAATAAAACTAAAAAAACAGAGAGACAAAGAGTAAGGGAGTTGGTTATGCAATAAGAAAGTATTAACATCCAAAACATCTATAGTATTCTATAGAAACTTCTTGAAAATCTATGTTTGACTTAAAACTGGTTGTTTGCAAAAGATTGAAGAGATGAAAAGAGAATTTTTTTTTTAGGGTTTTTGGTGTTTGACAAGACTTCCTGAGCCTCGTGCCTACGTACCTACAAAGTGCAATAGAAGATCAAAACCTCGTAGTGCGTGGTAAAAATAACAAAAGAGTTTGTTTTGATTGATTTTAAATGAAAAGATATTTTGTCATTTTAATGAGAAATAAATGAAAAAATCAAGATGAAACTTCTAAACAACAATTAAAAGCTCAAGAAAATCAAAATAAATCAGAAACAAGTCAAGGATCATATAATATTTTTTGGAGAATTTAAAAATACATAAAAATATTTTTAAACAAATTAAAATGCATGAAAAATGTGAAAAATAAAAAAAAATACCAAATCATGAAATAAAAATGTGAAAAATAAAGAAAAATATCAAATTATAAAATAAAAATGTGAAAAAATGCACACAAGGTAGAAAACATTTGTAGAAAATTATAGAAAAATGTGGAGTGAAAAAAACTTAGGGAGCTATTTTTTATGATTTTTCAAAATAAATGAGAAATTAAAAACAAATAAAATGAAATAAGCTGCAAAAAAAAACAACCATCAGATCAGATCAAAGGTTGAAAATCAAACACACGCGCAACCATCAGATTTCATTTAAAACAGATTCAAAGGTCTAGATCAAAAGAGACATGACGTGCTCTAAATGAAATAACGTGTTGGATCCATTTCAAATTAAAACAACATTAGGCCACCGTGAGAGCACCTCCTCTCATCTTCTCCGGTGAGTTGCTCACCGGAGTTTGACATTTTGCAAGCTTAGGTCACAAAACCACCATCATTGTGACGGTTTCATCAGTGTAAACTCAACCTCATGCTTCATTTTCATTAGTTAAAAGTGAGCAGAGAGAATTTGAAGGAAACTTAGTGAAAAATGAAAACATGAATAGATAAATTAATTGCCTTATATGAACAATCAGCACAAGGTAAGTTAGGGGAAATGATCAAAGAGAGGGAGGCTACATCGTGGTAACTTGTTTGAGTCTAAAAGATGTTCAGAATTGCCTTATCCAAATGATGACCGGAGGTGTTGAAAGCTGGATCTGGTTAGAGCACTTCAGTGAGCCTAAGAGCTTGGTATTTGTTACAAAATTTCAGAGGAGACCGAATGAGCTAATAGAATCAAGAAACAAGGTTGAAAGAGCTTAGAATTTGAAAAGGAAAACTCAAAATTTCAGTGCAAAGTGGGAGCTCGAGCAGAGGTTCTGGGGGCTTTCTAAACATGGAATTCAGTGCAAATGATTACTGTATTTATAGCTGAGGTGAATGGAGCTCATACGTGTGAAGAATTGTTGCAAAACATGTGAAACATGAGCAAGAAAATGTGATCATTATTGGAACAAACTTGTAAAGGGCATAAAATAAGATAATTGGTAAAACGAACCGCCCACAAAAGTTGAAAATTGAGAGAGTTATGATATTTGCAAGTTAGGCAAATATCACTTGAATTTAGGCCAAATTTCAATAAGTCCACAAAACGACCTATAATGTCTTCAAAACTTTCATAGCCTTCCAAGCATAATTGCCTCTTGACTTGTAAAAACAAGTTTGAGGGGATGTCAAGAAGATTCATTTGCCCAAAGAAGCACCCAAAAATGTTAAAGTATGAAGAAATTGTGATATTTTGAACTTGGACTTGAAATCTTGACTTTTAGGTCAAACCTCCTTGAACAAACTTGCAACCTTGGACATTTCCTTGCATTTTGAGGCACAATGATGATCATATAAACTCAAAATGATGTATGCTTGAATTTCCTTTGATTAAAATTGCCATGGATTGAGGAAACTTGTTGATGAAGGCATGGAAATAAACACATGAACCTTTAAAATTTCTTGAGAAGCAAGTTATCAAACTTTGAAATATCCTTAATCAAATGAAGTTGAATAATGCTTGAGACTTCATGATTTAAGATTAGAGATCATGCTTTGATGAATATCCTTTGATTACACTTTGACTTGAGGAACTCAAACCCTAACTGAGGAAGCAATCATTTGATGCTCACTACGCCAGAAATGACATTTAGCAGCGCATACAAAGACAACGCTTTTAGAAAAAGCGCTGCTGAAGAGGAATAAAAAAAAGAAAAAAATTGATAACCAAAGACAGCGCTTTCTCAGAAAGCGCTGCTAAATGGGGGTCCTAAGATAGCGCTTATAAAAAGCGCTGCTAAAAGGGGGGTCTAAGACAGCCCAAAGACAGCGCTTTTTAAAAAGCGCTGCTAAAGGGGGGTCCTAAGGCAGCGCTTCCAAAAAGCGCTGCCAAATGGGGGGTCTAAGACAGCCCAAAGACAGGGCTTTTCTAAAGCGCTGTTGTAGGTATGGTCTACGAGGGCGCTTTTTCCATAAAGCGCTGCTATATGGGTTACATTAGAAGGCCTTTGAGAGCGCTTTTTAAAGCGTTGCTAAAGCTATTAAAAAGCGCTGCTATAGGTTTATTAGAATTAATTTAAAATACCCACCAGAATTTTTATGAGAAACAAAACAGTCATATTACGTTGCTTTCTTTCCTTTTCTCTGGCGAACAAAGAGTGTTGCCCTATAAACCACCGTTGTCGTCCAACCGTCGTCGTCCAACCGTCGTCGTCTGTCCAACCGTCGCCCTCGTCTGTTGCATTTGCAGTCGTTCACCGTCCCTCTGCTCGTCTGCATTGCATTTCCGCCATTGTTACGGTATTTGAAGTTTTACTCTGGTTTTCTTTTTTACGTATATTTTCACCATTGTTGCTGTAATCTTTAAGACAAACTGAATATGTTTTTATTATTTGAATGCAATCAAGTTAAGTCATTTTTTGTCATCTTGTTGTATGGATATCTACATGTTAAGTCTCTCTGTTGCATGTTATATATTTTGTATTTTAATCTACATGTTAAGTCTCTCTGTCATTGTTACGGATATTTTGTATGTTTTAGATTGACAAACAAGAGTTTGGATTGAAACTAATGAATTGCCCTGGGAACTGTTTGTTGTTTTTATATATTTTGATTCAATGTACTGATAAATTCAGAACAAGAGTACAATTAGAAACAAGGTGAATAGAACCAATACACTACGATAGTGAGATATTGAAGGTTAGTCGATAGTGAGAGATGAATAGAATCAAAAAAGTGAAGATAGTGTGTAAAAGTTGTACAAATGGAGAATGAAAATTAGTGGTGAGTTTATATGATGATGAATGTTAGTGTTGTTAAGTGATGGCTAGGTGGTAGATAGTTTTGCAAGGTGAATAAAGAATGGAAGAGATTGATAAAAGTTGTACAAATGGAGAATGAATAGAATAAAAAAAAGAAAGGGAAAAGTGAGAGAAAATGAATAGTTAATTAATTAAAAAATAGTAATGTAACTTGATAGAGCATATTTTTTTTCAATATAGTTTGGAAATTCCTATTTTTTAAGAGAGTAGCCAACATGAATATGGTTTTATATGATATGGTTTTATATGTTATTATGGTTTTATATGTTGATGGTTTTATATGTTGATATGTTAGTATGGATTTATCAATGATTATATGATATGTTATTATGGTTTTATATGTTTAGTTAGGATTTCTCAATGTTTAGTAAGGGTGTCATTTTGGTTTAAGGATTATCTAGTATTTTTAATATGATTTGTTTTGGTGGATTATCTAGTATTTTTGTCTTGGTTAATTATTAATATGATTTTAATAAAATTTATATTTTGTCTGCTATAGGGGTTACCTGTGAAGAGCAAAGCTGTGATCATTTCCAAGCATCTTATTGCGTAGCATTCTTAGAAGTTAGTGATTTCCTTACAGGTATTCTCTGTTTTGTTTAACTTTTATAGTTTAGTGTAGATTACTCAATTAGTATGAATAAAAAATGGATGTCTGGTAATCGATTGTCAAAAGAGTACGAGAATGGGGTATCGAAGTTCGTTAAGTTTGCTGTTGAACACGCCAAAGACCCCAGTAGGATCACATGTCCTTGCTTAGGATGCTGTTATGGGCGTCGAGTTGACTTCGTTCAGTTGGAATCTCATTTAATGAGACATGGAATTGATCGAAGTTACACATGTTGGACATTACATGGTGAGATAAGTAACGAGAATGTTGAACCCCAGAATAATACGACATGTGCTTCAAAGGACAATGGCAGAGATACATATGATTGTGATCGAGTCGAAGAGATTGCAGAAGCACTTGAAGAAGATCTTCAAGATTGTCCCAAGATGTTTGAGAGGTTGGTAA